GAATGCCGACCGTGACATCGAGCAGGTTTCAATTATCTCGTTCCTCTATGTGGATATTTGAAATTTGTTTCTTTAATTATGTGTATTTCTCTGAATTTCTTCTCCAAAATCAATATCTGACTTTGAAAATTATAATTTTTGATTTGGTCAATAATGTCTTCTGAGAACTGTTTCTGGAGCGTTCTTCTGAGAGCCTTCAGAATTTGCAAGAAAAATAGAAGAGAAATGGACTTCAAGAATGTGCTTGGTTGCTAGGAAAATCAAGATTTTTTGTTTGGGTGAATGAAATGGAATATTATATAAGTTTGAGATAGATTGTTGACTAGACAAGGTAGTGTTGTGGTTTGATGCTTTGTTCGGTTACCAAAATTGGAAAATGTATGGGTGGAAAATCACCAGAAATTTTCGGAAGAAATGGTTTTTGAGTTTTTGTTTTTTGAAAAATCGAGTTGTTTTATTTTGCTTATTCTTATTATTGTTTATTATTATTATTATTCTGTTATATTTATATTTTTCTGAACAGTACTTAGGAAATGAAATAGAGATTATCATTTTTGCGTTATCAGAAAATGGGATTTTCTAAAGAAAACGTACCCGTCTTGATTTCCTGCTTGACAGAGTGCGGAATAGACCTGAGATCGGAAATTTTCATTTATTTCAATAAAAGGAAGTTTTCTTATGAAAAAGTTTTGTATGAAGTAGGACTCAATTTGTTCTACGCGCTGAAAGGGCTTGCACATATGTTTTCACTTTTGTTGGTAGTATATTTGCGCGTAATACCTGATTTTTGTACAAGGGATATGCATGGTAATAAGATTTCAATTGACAAGTGCCATATGTTTTGTGGTCTATTGATCTAATTGGCAATGGCTTTGCAAATGACCACTCTCTATCTGTTTTCTTCAGAGCTTTGAGTCTTATAATTAATCTTCACATAATGAAATGGTACTTTTAGTAGGCATTAGAAGATTTTGGAAACCCGTTATAGTATGCCATAAAGGCACAACATGTTGGTTCCTAACATATTCTATTTATGTCGATTGCTAATGGTTGTATTCATGGTTTTGAACGATCTCTCGAACGATTTTGCAGGCATTAATTGCTTTGAAGAAGGGTGCCCAGCTGCTTAAATATGGTCGTAAAGGAAAACCCAAGTTTTGTCCATTTAGACTTTCTAATGTATGTTTTCTTTTGAAGCTTCTTATCTCAAGTAGGATATTAATAGATTTTGTTTTTTTTGATAGTAGGATATTCATAGATATTACTTCATGTGCTATTTGCATGGACTATGCTCAGAATGAATGCATTTTTGAAGGCTTAACAAGAAAAGTAGCTCTTCAATAATAATAATAATAATAATAATAATAATCATCATCATCATCATCATCATTATCATAGTTAAACGTATCAGCTGCTCTGATGAACAAGAAATGCTGTTCCATGACCTTTTGAAAAGAGAAACCTGTGCATTGAACCTGAGCTTTCTACATGACTAATTAATTGTTTAAATTGAAAACTCTCAAAGCTAAATGAGTTTATAAAACAAAATTCCCTTGGCCCTTGCTTATGTGTCTGTGTCTAGGTCAGGAAACAAGTTGGCTTTTCTTTTTGTTGCATTAACTGGATATTGATGTTCTTATTTTTATTGCGTATTTTGTCATCTCAAATCACTAAGGTTATGGACAGTTCTCTTGTATTTAGTAGTTTGAGACAATAACTCTATGCGTGTAGACGTTCTTTAGGTTTTAACTAATTTCTAAATTTTAAACATTGTAGGATGAATCTTCTTTGATCTGGATTTCTAGTAGTGGTGAGAGAAGTTTGAAGTTAGCCTCTGTATCAAGAATTATTCCTGGGCAAAGAACTGTGAGCTCTCTATTACTTTCATCTGATGTCAATCACCCTTGCAATCTACTTGATTTGAAGCGATTCTATTCCTATGATTTAATGTCTTGATTCTTTTCTTTCTAATTCACAACCAGGCTGTTTTTCAACGATATCTTCGCCCTGAAAAGGATTACCTATCTTTTTCTCTTATATACAACAACGGGAAGAGGTCTCTTGATCTGGTAAACAATGAAAGTGTCAGATTGTGTCTATGTATTGCCATTCTTCTCATTGTACCTGTGTATATTTCAGTTAAAATTGCCATATCTTCTTGCTTTCCAGATATGCAAGGATAAAGTTGAGGCGGAGGTGTGGATTGGAGGCCTCAAAGCATTAATATCCTCTGGTAGAGGTGGACGTTCTAAAATTGACGGATGGAGTGATGGAGGGCTCTACCTTGATGTAAATATGGCTGATTTGAACTTTTCTTCTTTTTTTTTTCATTCTCTATTATCTTTCATCTTTTGTTGAGCTACGTTTAAATAGAAATTTACTAGAGTATAGGGTTTTGTTGAATGTTGGAATGCCGGGCCATTGTTAAAGAAAAATCTTGTGTGGATCAACATTGGCGTAATTTGCTCATAATTCTCAATTTAATAAACAAGTCATATAATGTCTATAAGTCAGAAATATTTGGCGCTTCTGTTTTTGTCAAGAAATACTAGAGTTAGTGGGCTTTGAATTTATTCCCCCATTACAATAGTTATGTGCCCGAGTTTTTGTCTTAATTTCTTGCTTTTGTTGCACAGTAAGTGAAATTTCCATTACCAAAATATTCTTGTGAGCATGCTTGTATGAATTTAAGATTTATTTCATATCAAGTTCACATGATACTTGCAACACTTAACTGGCTGCCTCACGATGATTTTTGGTGAACTGATTTCAGGATAGCAAAGATTTGACCTCAAATAGTCCAAGTGATAGCTCAGTTAGTGGTGCAAGAGATATTAGCTCCCCTGATATAGCTAGTTTTAATCCGATTAGTTCTCCAAAGAGTTTTCACCCTGATATTTCTTCAAATTCTGTGAGGTCACATGTAGCATCAGATCAGACAAATATGCAAATAAAAGGATCTGGTTCAGATGCTTTTCGAGTTAGTGTCTCTAGTGCTCCCAGCACTTCCAGTCACGGTTCTGCACCAGATGATTGTGAAGCTCTAGGAGACATATATATATGGGGCGAGGTTATTTGTGATAATGCTGTTAAGGTTGGAGCTGATAAGAATACTTCTTTCTTGAGCCCAAGAGCAGATGTGCTTCTCCCTAGGCCTTTGGAGTCAAATGTAGTTTTAGATGTGCATCATATAGCTTGTGGTGTTAGGCATGCTGCCTTAGTCACAAGGCAGGGTGAAATTTTCACATGGGGTGAAGAATCTGGAGGTCGACTCGGTCATGGTGTTGGGAAGGATACTATGCAACCTCGTCTAGTTGAATCTTTGTCAACTGCTGTAGTTGATTTTGTAGCATGTGGAGAGTTTCATACATGTGCCGTTACAATGGCCGGGGAACTTTACACATGGGGAGATGGTACACACAATGCTGGACTTCTTGGTCATGGGACTGACGTCAGCCATTGGATACCCAAGCGGATATCTGGGCCTCTTGAAGGATTGCAAGTTGCTTCAGTAACTTGTGGCCCGTGGCATACAGCCTTGGTTACATCAAATGGGCAACTCTTCACATTTGGTGATGGAACATTTGGTGTCTTAGGCCATGGAGACAGAGAAAGTCTCTCATATCCGAGGGAGGTAGAGTCACTGTCAGGGTTGAGGACAATAGCTGTTGCATGTGGAGTTTGGCATACTGCTGCTGTGGTGGAGGTTATTGCAACACAATCTAGTGCAAGTGTTTCATCAGGCAAACTGTTTACTTGGGGTGATGGAGACAAAAATCGTCTTGGACATGGAGACAAAGAACCTCGGCTAAAACCTACCTGCGTTCCAGCGCTTATTGATTACAACTTTCACAAAATTGCTTGTGGGCACAGTTTAACTGTTGGCTTGACCACATCTGGACAAGTATTTACCATGGGAAGCACTGTTTATGGTCAACTTGGGAATCCTCGTTCTGATGGAAAGCTACCTTGCTTGGTAGAGGACAAGCTTATGGGGGAGTGTGTCGAAGAAATTGCCTGTGGTGCATATCATGTGGCAATATTAACTACCAGGAATGAAGTTTATACATGGGGAAAGGGTGCTAATGGGAGATTGGGTCATGGAGATATTGAAGATCGGAAGACTCCAACCTTGGTTGAAGGTTTAAAGGACAGACATGTAAAGTATATTGCTTGTGGTTCGAACTACACATCAGCTATTTGTCTTCACAAATGGGTATCTGGTGCTGAGCAATCTCAGTGCTCTTCTTGTAGACAGGCCTTTGGTTTTACACGTAAGAGGCACAACTGCTATAATTGTGGACTTGTACACTGCCATTCGTGTACTTCTAGAAAAGCAACTAGGGCAGCACTTGCTCCTAGCCCTGGAAAACCGTACAGAGTGTGTGATGCTTGTTATGTGAAATTGAACAAGGTGTCAGAAACAGGTGGTAATAACAAGAGAAATGCCGTACCTCGCTTATCAGGCGAGAACAAGGATAGACTAGACAAGGCTGAGATAAGGTATGCCAAGTCAGCCATGCCTTCTAACATGGATCTAATAAAGCAATTAGATAGTAAAGCAGCTAAACAAGGAAAGAAAACTGAGACATTCTCGCTAGTTAGATCCTCTCAAGCACCTTCCTTGTTGCAACTGAAAGATGTTGTTTTGTCCAATGCCGTTGATCTGCGGCGAACTGTTCCAAAGCCAGTTCTTACGCCCTCTGGAGTAAGTTCCAGGTCTGTGTCTCCTTTCTCAAGGAGGCCAAGCCCTCCACGTTCTGCTACACCTGTCCCTACGACATCAGGACTTTCCTTTTCAAAGAGTATTTCTGATGGTTTGAAGAAAACAAATGAACTTCTGAATCAAGAAGTTTTGAAGCTACGTGCGCAGGTAAAATGATATTTTACTTGTCCTTTTATTATTAACAATCTGTAATAGTATTTTGGTATTTGATAGCATAAATTAATAGCTTATACTGGTGTTTGAAATATTTTTAGATTGAGAGCCTGAGGCAGAGATGTGAGTTGCAAGAGATGGAACTTCAGAAATCAACAAAGAAAGCTCAGGAAGCTATGGCTCTTGCTGCCGAGGAAGCTGTTAAATCTAAAGCTGCGAAAGAAGTCATAAAATCACTTACTGCACAGGTTATTTCCTGACATTTGTGGTTTCCCTTGTTTTTTTTTTTTTTTTTTCTAGCATGATACGTAGAATTATTCTGTGCAACTAGCAGTGTACAAATCTATACTGTCTTGTCACTGTATTAATCTGATCAATATAAATTTCTGGACCAACTAGAGGTGCTGCAAATTACGCAATGTTTTGACCTTGCTTGACACACACACACACACACATATTTTGACGACTGGGATTAGGTAACAAGTTTATTCTTTTATTTTTTTTTGTTTAAATAAAGTACGCAGCTTAGTCTGTTTTTGCTTCCCCCAAAGCGTTTTTTTGGGTACCATTGGTGCTATTGTTATTAACTTTTACATCAAACTCATCATCCTTCAAAATATTTCCAGCTCAAAGATTTGGCTGAAAGGCTGCCACCTGGTGTTTACGATAGTGAGAGCATCAAGCTAGCATACCTACCAAATGGTTTGGATCAAAATGGAATGCATTATCCAGATCTAAATGGGGATCGCCATTCAAGATCTGATTCTATAACTTCCACGGGGACCGACTCTGCTATGTTAAATGGAAGTCATTCACTATATTCACCCAGAGATTCAACTGCGACCAGTGAAATTAATATGCCACAGCAACGGGAGCATTTGACCCCCAATGGAGCAGTAGACCACACAGATGTTAAACATTCAAACGGTGGGAATTGCACAGGCAGTAGTGTCTCTGAAGCTCTTGATGCCAAGGATTCCGGGTCTTTCCAAGATGGGGAGAATGATATGAGATCCAGAAATCCTGCATTGGCTGGTACTAATACCCAAGTTGAGGCGGAATGGATCGAACAATACGAGCCAGGTGTTTATATAACTCTTGTGGCTTTGCGGGATGGAGCTAGAGATCTTAAACGAGTTCGCTTCAGGTACCATTTATTTCTTCTACATTGTAGTTTAAAATGTAACGATTGTAATTTTGCCCATTATCTGAGCAAAGAGGGAAGCCCCGTGATCTCTGTAGTAGATTTAAAATCATTTAGGAGACATTTGGTTCATGGATTAGAATTATGAGATTAGAATCATTTTTGATTTACGTGTATTTTTTGTGAGAGAAAACACTGTAGCAAACCATGAATCATGATTCGAATCGGGGTACGAATCCCCCAACTAAACAACCCCTTAGTAAACAGAATGCATTTTATATACCAAGACCAATGAAGGTGGTTACAGTCTTGTGACATTGTTCATTTTTCTCAAGTTGGGAATTATCTTACTGTGATGACCTTCACTTTGGCGAGCTCGGAATGAGGAGCCTATGATTTTGGTTGAACGGGCCATGCACATATGGGACTGAGGCTGCATCTAATTTAGCTTGAGATCTGGGAGTGAACAACTCCATCTCATTTTAGCTTGAACTCTTCTCTTTGATAAATTTGTGACTACAATCTGACTCTGTAAATGTATCTGCAGCCGAAGAAGATTCGGAGAGCACCAAGCAGAGACTTGGTGGTCAGAGAACCGTGAAAAAGTGTATGAAAGGTACAACGTCCGAGGGTCCGACAAGTCTTCAGTTTCTGGCCAGGCGGCCCGCAGATCGGAAGGAGCACTCTCACCTGCTTCCCAACATCAACATGCCTAGCTAGAGTGGAGGAAGCTTGACATTAACACATTCTGTATCAGTTACCTCGAACGGTATCGAGGGAAAGTGCAAGAATTGGTAAGAATGAAGGGAAGCAAGTTCCTCATTTTGCCGCCTTTTTTTTTTTTTCCTCTGGGGTCACCTTTTAGTTCTGTCCTTCCCCTTATTTAATTTCTTTTTTCACTTTCTTAATTTCTTATCCATTTAATTTCTGGGTCATCACCCTTTATACATCTGTTGTATTGTAGTGTATATAAAATCAATCTTCAGATAATCTGAGCAAAAGAAAGTTTATCTTCTTGCTTCCCTCACCCTTCTGACATATTGGTCTGGTAGCTATACTCTGTCCCTCATCGTTCTTTGGGAAAATTATGTGGTTTTTACAACCTATTGGTTGGGCACAAATTTGAATTGTGGGATTTTCATCGACAAATTATCATGTTTTCCTAAATCCCAATTGATTCAAATGTAATTGTAATTTGATAAAGCCTTCTTATCCCATATAGGGTATTTTTCATACCCGCAAAATTGGCCTTGTTATTTTTTATATAATATATACAGCTGTAATTCCTTTCAACTAATCCCACTACGACCAAACTAACGTGACCACCAACATATATCTTATGTCAATCTCATTCTAGTATATTAATGCTTTTCGTTGCCTTGGCAGGTCAATATTTTCCTGCATTTTGCGAATACTAGCGAACAGTTATAAAACACGTATATTAAATAAATATATATAAATCAACTCCCTAATTTAGGGCAGTAAAAATATCGGCAGATTTTTAGTTTTTTCCTTAGTCTCTGGTTTTTATTTTGTACCTTATGAGGTGAACGAGTTTGCTCAAATTTATAGACAAAGATTCCGTTCATTTCGCCGTTTCGAGTTTAGAATTCGAGTTTTGTTATAATAAAAAGCTTTTAGAAACAGTCACATTTAATTTTTTTGCTACAGTAAAAAACACTCACATAAAATCACATATCAACTCGAATCAGTAAACTAAACGGATCTGAAAATGACACCAACAAAATCCTTCAACAATCTCGGTCATAATGGCTTCTAGAAAGGACCATTCAATCCGATCATAGCTTTTCCCATATCTAACTTCAATGCCATGAGACCCTCTCTGCCACCAGTCTTCCGCCGAATAGAGTTAAGCACTTTAAACGCCACAATTATATTGTTGGTGATAATCTCATTCGATACAAACGCAGTTTGCTCATACGAAACAGATATGCTTCAACGGATTGGCAAATGTTTTAATGATCACCTCTTATGAAACATTTCACAAACATTAAAAAAAAAAGGTCGAAAATCATTAACTTTTTAAGAGACTTGATGGGAATAAGCATTACATGAGTAGCACTAAGTCCCTCCACCAAATGTTAAGAACACCAAGACAAACTTCGAGTAGCTCACTTCTCACTATATCCCATTTTTCAATTTTTGCTTCAGTTCTCGCTTTCATGTTTTAAATTCGGATGCCATACTTTTGTTTTGGTCTTCCATTGTATGAGCCAATTTGGCTACTTAATTTCAGGAGAAATAGTAGAAAATAGGCCAATATAAAAAGTTTAAGAAAGTATATAAGTCAATTTTTAGTTATAGAAATTAATAGGCTATAACTTGTCAAGTTATGGTTCATAACTAGACAAGTTATGGACAATAACTTATTAAGTTATGGTTCATAACCAGACAAATTATGGACAAAAATAATAATTTAACATATTTATTAACTTATACAAACTATTAATCTATTAATTTTAATTCATCTCAAACTCTTAACCTATTTCACTCTTTCTTCCTAATTTCAGGCTGTCAAATCCTGATATGTAATGACTTTTATTCAAAGCCCATTAAATGCTTTCTAAATTACAATGGTCACAGTCAAACAGCGTTTTGTTCGGTGTATAAATCATCATCATCATCTGATGTATTTATTCAATTCAATAGAAAATAAGATGGTCCATAGATAATGGCGAGTTAATTACATCGTTATCCTCCAGCCACGAAGCTAAGAAAGAGGAGAAAAACTAATTGCGGTTTCATTGCTCTCCTTGTATTTTTTTTTTAATTTTTTTTTATTTTCCGCGGGATTTAAACTGAAAATTTTATGGTAGAGTTAGATATAAACTTATCACTAGATTATGGAAGCAATCACCATCTTGAAATTAAACTCGATTTTAGTTTTTATCCATCTATTGTATTGTGTTCCTATTATCGTGGTGATTTTTTCTTTTAAAAGTTACTTGATGAAAATGATTATGTATTTCCTACAAAAGAAGGATTATACAGCAGCGTAAAACAAAACCTATTTGACAAACAGAATTGCTTTAAAATAAGAATCTAGGTAAATTTAACAAAATTTATCAAAAAATAATCAAATTTCACACTACCCGTTAAAATTGTTTTTACTCTACCGAAAATTCTTCACACTGTATACATAATCACCCTGAATTATGATCATATTGAATTTCAATACTGCTGCCACATTTATTGCTTGAATTTTCCATTCTCCGCTTTTGAAAGCTTATTTTCCAGTGGTGGGGTGACCTTTTCGTGTTGGTATAACTGAAGCCAGAACCAGCAAAATGGCCGAAGAATTGCATTTATTACAAAAAGAAAGAAAAAAAAAAAAAAGACAAAAAGACAAAAACATTAGTTCAACTGCCTCATGGCCTTGCTTGCTCAACTTGGCAACACAATTCTAGCCCGGGAAAAAAAAAAAAAACTTGGCGCAACAAACTTTTTTTTCTTCTTCTTTTTCTTTGAAGGAGGAACAAACATTTTTTTTAGGATATTTACATTTATTATACCCTGTGTCTTAAGTTTATTCAAAATATATATTTTTAATTTTTAATCTCATCAAATGTATACCTTCAAATTAGATTTAATATACGAATTCATACCTTATTTCGGTTAATAATTGATTTTAACATTTAAAATGACAAAACTATCCTAAAAAAAAAGAAAAAAAAAATAAAACTTTCCAACATTACAAAACTGTAAGTTTCCATTTCAACTGCAAGGAAAGAAGTAAAAGTTCCCAACTTTCCATTTCAATGGCATTTTGTATATTTTTAAAGTCAAAACTGTAAGTTTAAAGTTTTTTTAGTTAATTTTTTTATTTTTCTATTTTTTTATTTAAGGGTATTTTTTGTATTTCTAATGTCAAAATCAAGAGTTGGTTGTAGAAAAGTATAAACTTAAGTATTAAATTTAATTTAAAGGTATACATTTGATGATATTAAAAACTGAATGTAAAGTTTTTAAATAAATCTAAAACACAATGTATAAATATTTCTTTTTTTTTTTTTTTTTTTTTTTTTTTTTTTTTTTTTTTTTCAACGAAGCAGCGGCTCTATCTTTTCAGAGTTCAGATTGCATTTTGAAAACGTAAAGGAAAATTTGTTAGCGGCTTAGGGTCCAAACACATCTTAAAGTATGGAAAGAACTATGTGTGGAATATGAATTATGTTTTATCAAAGATTCATTTTAAATACATTTTATACCGAAACCAAAGTAGAAAAATATACACTCAAGATTCTTATAAAAAAAAAGCGTATATTATAGTGTATAGCTAGAAAGTTATGATTAAAAATTGGGATATTTGTCATTAAAGTGTTATGATTATAATTTAATTAGTTTTGATTTAGCGAGAAAATCCATGTCATTTTCATAATAATTTGTACAACTCAAGTTATGACTCAGGTCATATTATTACAGTGTTTTCTCTCACATAAATTCAAATTTAATTTTTTTATTATAGTATTTTTTTCTCACATACACAACCCAAATTATTATGACTTGAATTGTGCAAATGAACATAAAAATTTTAAGAAACTACATATACAAGCAAAAAAAGAAAAGGAAAATCTAGGGAAGCATAAGGTCGTCCTTAAATTGATTGGAATTTTGGAAGGTGATGAGTACACTATTATTTGTATGCTCATACATTTAATTATCTAGAGTACCCCGTACAAATACGAGATGCAACTTCTTTATTTAGAAGAATTTTGTTTATTAAAACATACTGATAGAAATTTTATTCTTATATATGTTATGGTAACTTATTATCTGAATTGTCTAATTTTTTTAGAATTACGAGTTTTAATCAATATCATATTTATTCATGATAATATCATAATTACGATATGAAGTCGTAATGAAAATAATTATTAATAATTATCATATTACCACTTGGAATACCAAAATCGTTGTTCAACAAACATAATACCCACAAAACAAATTTTTGTGATATTCTTCTATCTATTATCAAATTGGAAATAAGTTTAAACGATTGGTGCCTCCAAAACAGAACCCTAGCATTCTTTTTTTTTTTTTTTTTTTTTTT